CAAGCTTATATACAACTTCCGGTTCACAGCTACAAGTCTTGAACCGGCTACGGGCCTTAGGCCCTCATCTGCCTTCTTGGGCTTTATCACTTCTGGAACTACTGATGAAGTTGACCCGGCCTAGATAGGCCGGTTTACGCCCAGGAGTAATATCCTCAACAAGACGGTTGACTTTCCCCGAAACCCTAATCCCCGATAATTTTTGGCACACTTTGGCGCATCATAACCCCCTCATCGTAGCTCCGATTCGTGTGTGTAGCATATCAAAATGTTTGTCTCGACGAGTACATCATTTCATCTGATTGCATCATTTTCATTTGAGCTCATCTCGATGCCCGAAATGCTGTTGGAAGAGGGCTATGTGATGATTATGTCAGATCTGTTTCAGCAAATACCCTTTTGTCATTTTTGCCATGATTAATGTGTGCATGCTATGATCCTGAGCTCTAAATGTGTTTTGAAGAATGTCATGCCATCTTTACAGGGGTGTATACCATGTATTTTTGTGATCTTTTTGGTGACTAGCACAAACATGCAAAGTAGCTTACTCAATGATGCTGATTTCAGGGACTTAGAATTTCACAAAGTCCTTGCCCTGTCTTTATTTTTATGCCATATGTTCATGGTGTTTCCTAGTGATCCGTGCCTCTTTTGAGGATGATCAGTAAGGATGTTTTGTAGATAATGTTGTGCTCTATCCATCCATGTCTTTGTTTGCAATTATGGAGCACCCTAGCTTGAGTCAATCGAGCTCTACTTTTGCTATAAAATGTTCCTGGCAGATTGTTAACATGTTTTGCAATTTTGCCATGCCTTGCTTTGCCATGATATGTTCCTGTAGCATGTAGTTACCATGCTCTAAACATTGCTTCCTGATGATAAATTCTTGACTTGTGTTAATTTCACCAAGTCTGAAACCTGTTATCTTTTGTAATTTTGCCATGCTTGTTTGAACCTGTTAATGAGTGAACTAGCCGTAGCTCAATGTTCATCTTTTGTCAAGCATCATGAGTGGATCCCTGCCATGTATTTTGTTGTCATGTTTGAGTGCATTAGCTTATTTATCTTGATGCATTTAGAAGGCTACTTGTTGTTTATCGCAGACCGGTGCCATATTTGTTTTGCTTGCCATTTCCAAACCGTGCATCCGATTCCGGTGATCTTTATATCGATTTTGACCGAAATTAACTCCCCTTTCCAGTGGCACTCTTGGATTTCCAAGTTGAGGCCAGGTTCAATCTTTCCTTTCCAAATCTTGCATATGCATCACATACCGCATCCCGCATATCATACCATGTTTGCATCATGTTGCTTGAGCATTGCACGTGGTTGATTGTGTTCCTTTTTGCTTGTTGTTATTGCTTGGGTAGAGCCGGGAGACGAGTTCGTGATCGAGGAGCCTGTTGAGTTGGCTTACGAGGATCAAGGCAACTATGAGAACTTTGCAGGCAAGATGACCATACCCTCGAAATCACTTCTATCTTTGCTTGCTAGATGCTCGCTCTTTTGCTATGCCTATGCTACGATACCTACCACTTGCTTATCATGCCTCCCACATTGCCATGTCAAACCTCTCACCCACCTTGTCCTAGCAAACCGTTGTTTGGCTATGTTACCGCTTTGCTCAGCCCCTCTTATAGCGTTGCTAGTTGCAGGTGAAGATTGGAGTTCATTCCTTGTTGGAACTTGTTTATTGTTGGGATATCACCGTATTATCTTGTTTATCTTAATGCACCTATATACTTGGTAAAGGGTGGAAGGCTCGGCCTTATGCCTGGTGTTTTGTTCCACTCTTGCCGCCCTAGTTTCCGTCATATCGGTGTTATGTTCCCGGATTTTGCGTTCCTTACACGGTTGGGTTATAATGGGAACCCCTTGACAGTTCGCCTTGAATAAAACTCTTCCAGCATGGCCCAACATTGTTTTACCATTCGCCACCTAGCCTTTTTCCCTTGGGTTTCACGGACTCAAGGGTCATCTTTAGTTTAACCCCCTCCCGGGCCAGTGCTTCTCTAAGTGTTGGTCCAACTGAGCGATGTTCGGGGCTACCAGGGGCAACTCTGGGCTGGCCTACCCGACGTCTGGCTCATCTGAGTGTGCCCTGAGAACGAGATATGTGCATCTCCTATCGGGATTTGTCGGAACATTCGCGCGGCTTTGCTGGTTTAGTTTTACCATTGTCGAGGATGTCTTGTAACCGGGATGCCAGTCTGATCGGATTGTCTTGGGAGAAGGAATATCCTTCGTTGATCGTGAGAGCTTGTGATGGGCTAAGTTGGGACTCCCCTGCAGGGATTTGAACTTTCGAAAGTCGTGCCCGCGGTTATGGGCAGATGGGAATTTGTTAATGTGCGGTTGTAGATAACCTGAAACTTTACTTAATTAAAATGCACCAACCATGTGTGTAACCGTGATGGTCTCTTCTCGGCAGAGTCCGGGAAGTGAACACGGTGTTGGAGTAATGCTTGAAGTAGGTGGTTCTAGGATCACTTCTTGATCATAGTTGTTCGACCGTGCCTTTGCCTTCTCTTCTCGCTCTCTTTTGCGAATATGTTAGCCACCATATATGCTAGTCGCTTGCTGCAGCTGCACAACATACCTTTACCTTACCTATAAGCTTAAATAGTCTTGATCGCGAGGGTGTGAGATTGCCGAGTCCCCGTGACTCACAGTTTACTTCCAAAACCAGATGCAGGGACTGATGATACCGCTCGAGATGATATGACCGAGCTCAAGTGGGAATTCGATGAAGACTCTCGTCGTTACTACGTACGTGTCTTTCCCGGATGATCAGTAGTGGTGCCCAGTTGGGGCGATCGGGGACTTTGTCGCATTTGGGGGTTGATCTTTACTTTGGTTCCGTAGTCGGACCTTGAGTGTATTGGATGAATGTAATGACTTATTTATGCAATTGTGTGACGTGGCGAGTGTAAGCCAACTATGTACCTTTCCCCTTTATTTATGTACATGGGTTGTTTGCGAAGATTACCTCACTTGCGACATTGCTTTCAATATGGTTATGCCTCTAAGTCGTGCTTCGACACGTGGGAGATATAGCCGCATCAAGGGCGTTACACGAGACCACTCGGATCCACATGACACGTCGGATTTTTAAAAGAGGACCAAAGTATGAAGGTCTACGTTCCAAGGCAAGCCAAGCCAATGAATAATAGGATATAGCCATAGTAGCACCCAATCATATGATCCACACACACACATGCACGCAACATTGTCCATATGATGGTGCAAATCACAGGGTGTGAGAAAGGGCAGGCGCGTTGTGAAGCTATTGGAGAGGAAATCATGGCAAAAAAACTATTTTCAGGTTAAAACATACATGTCTATGAATGGGATCGGAGTTATCGGTGCTAGGTGAATGGATGGGGTATCTCACATAAAAAGCTTAACACAAAAAAATGTAGAGGATAGCCAAGTACATGTCTATGAATTAACTTGGGATTATTGGGAGATGTTTGAGTGATGAACAAGGCATGAATCGACTTGGATCATATCTGTATTTGCTATTTAGTTTATAGTTTTGGAACATGGCTCAGTGAGGTTCTCAACTGGGTAGGCTGAAAATACCAAAATACATCATGAGTATTTTTCTAAACTATTTCCAGGTTAATGTACATGTGATAATAATATAACTATTTCTAATGTTTTAAAAGGACACATATATAATTTTGAACCGGGAGAAGAGATATCATAATATTAGACCTGCATGTTTTTATTCAATTTTCTGTTTCATTTTTTATCAATTCTAGCAAAATATGGGGTTTGGGATTTTTCTTGCAGAAGAACAGGTTTAAATGGGTTTCATCGAAAATAAATTGTGATAAATATTTTTGAAGTGGTGATCACATGTCATGGTTAGTAAGATAATTTGATGACTTATTTATCACATTTCTAACAGTTGTTCTATTATGGTTGTAATTATTCAGCAAGATCCAAATAAAGAAGTAATAAAAGTCAATAAGAAGCAAATAACAACCATGTTTGTATCAACTTTGGATTTTATATTCATTATAATAAAGATATAGATGTTGCAAATAACAAAATGTGGCAGAGGGCAATCTTATTAAAAGCATTTGTCTTGCATATTCTTTTTAACGCGGAAAATACTTCCAAACTATTTATCAACCGGTATAGTAGTAGAGTGAACCAATATGGTTGGATCGTTAGGAAGGCAGTGGTATCCCTAGCCCATCGAAGTTCAAATCTTAGATTTGACATTGATGCTCGCATTTTCCTGTATTTATTTGAGGGCTTGCAGCGATGTGTGTTCAGTGAAAGCAGACGTTCTCGTCGACTACAAAGACGTCTGTGGCGACTTCGTCAATCTCAACGGTTCAGTCCCTCGGAGGTGCTCATAGGCATAGAGTGTGCATGTCTGTGTTCATAGAGATGAGTGTATGTGCGTATGTACAAGCGTCTGCGTTTGTATTGCATTCAAAAAAACTTTTGTAGCAGTACAAATAACACCAGAAGTAACATGAATTATATTCAGGTTCATATATTACCTAGTAACGTCTACCATCACTGGTGCGAGCCAAGGAGGCACCATCGTTATTCGCTCCTTCCTTATCAGAGACAGGTAAAATTTGTTATACTAGATAATTAAACTATTGATGTAGAAAAACCATGGAAGTCTCGATGGTGTAGAACTAGGATTGGTTTAACTTGTCTTAATTTAGGATTAATAACCAAATTCATTTTTTCTACCTTTTTTGAGGAAATCCGATTTTGGAGTACTGTATTCAAATTCGTTTTCTTTTACACGAAAAAAAAATCGTTCTTTACCAAAGTATATTCAAATTCGGATAGACTGAGAATGTCCGAGTCCGGGTCAGGGTACGTCTGTTTCGGCGCTACATAGCCCAGGCCCAGCCCAGCCCTAACCCCACGCCTCCCCAGTCTTCCGATTCAGTTCGCGCGATAGGTAATCAGTTCGCCGCCGCGGACAATCCCAGGGTTTCCGCCGCCAAATCACCGGCGAGATGTTGGAGGAGCTGCTCATCTTCACGCGCGGCGGCCTCATCCTGTGGTCGCTGGCCGGCGCCGCCGCTGCGCTGAAGGGCTCCCCGATCGACGCACTCATCCGGTCCTTCCTCCTCGAGGGCCGCTCAGCCTCCGCCGGGGCCGGCGCCGGCTTCACCCACGGCCCGCACGCGCTCAGGTGGACCTACGACAACGCGCTCGGGCTCGTCTTCGTCGCCGTCTACAGGCGGGTGCTCCACCTGCTGTACGTCGACGACCTCCTGGCCGCCGTCAGCGCGGAATTCGCGCGGATCTACAACCCGAGCCGCGTGTCCTACGACGAGTTCGGGGAGAGGTTCCGGCAGCTCCATCTCGAGGCCGAGGCGCGCGCGTCCCGTCCGCCCCCCGTCTCCGCGAAGCCTGCTCCAGCTTCATCCCCTGGCGCTCTCCAGCCCCATGGTGGCGTTGGCGGTGGTGGTGGTGGTGCTGGTGGTGGTGAGAAGATGGGTGATGAGTCTGGGAAGGATGACTCCGATGGTGAGCCTTCCAGGCAGGCCAAGCACAGCTCAGCAGCAGATGGTAGCTTCAATGGTGTGGAAGAGAATTCTCATGCCGGCAATGGTGGTGTTGTTGTGGAAAGGGAGGAGGAAGGAGGTCCCAACAATGGGGCTTTTAATTTTGAAAACATAACAAAATTCCTTTTTCCACGCAATGATAAAGACAAGCGGAATAAACCTGTGCACAAGGATAAGAAGAAACCGAGACCAGGGAGAGACAAGAAACCTGTACCCAAGGATAAGAAACCATCCGAGAAGAAGTTGGATTATTCCAACCCGGCGGTTCATGGCGGAGGGGCTGGGGAGCAGACGGCTGTCAACCAGGGGAAGAGCATGATGGATAAGGATGAAGCGGTGAGGAGCACAGCAAAGGATGGGTGGTTCTCCTCAATGTTCAGGAGCATTGCAGGTAGCAATGCAGAACTGAAGGAGTCTGATCTGCAACCTGCACTCAAATCTCTGAAAGACCGGCTCATGACCAAGAATGTAGCCGAGGAAATTGCAGAGAAGCTCTGTGAATCAGTCGCAGCCAGCCTCCTAGGCAAGAAGCTTGGATCGTTCACACGGATATCCTCTTCTGTTCAGGCAGCTATGGAAGAGGCTCTGGTTCGCATTTTGACCCCAAGGCGATCTATTGACGTACTGAGAGATGTTCATGCTGCCAAGGACCGTGGCACGCCGTATGTCATCGTCTTTGTTGGGGTTAATGGGGTAGGCAAATCCACTAACCTCGCAAAGGTTGCTTATTGGCTTCTTCAGCATGATCTTAGTGTCACGCTGGCAGCATGTGACACCTTTAGATCTGGCGCTGTTGAGCAGCTGCGCACACATGCTCGCAGGCTTCAGATTCCAATATTTGAGAAAGGATACGAAAGGGATCCAGCTGTAGTGGCGAAGGGTGCGATTCAGGAAGCCACCCGGAACAAATCAGACGTCGTTCTTGTCGACACCGCAGGGCGTATGCAAGACAATGAGCCACTCATGAGGGCACTCTCCAAGCTCATCAATCTTAATAACCCGGACCTGGTTTTGTTTGTGGGAGAAGCGCTGGTGGGAAATGATGCTGTTGATCAGCTCACCAAGTTTAGCCAGAAACTGACAGACCTTTCCACTGCTCCCACTGCTAGATCGATAGATGGCATCCTGCTTACCAAGTTTGACACCATTGATGACAAGGTTGGAGCAGCGCTTTCCATGGTGTATGTATCTGGAGCTCCTGTCATGTTCGTTGGCTGTGGTCAGTCTTACACTGACCTCAAGAAGCTCAACGTAAAATCCATTGTCAATACCCTCCTGGAGTGAATGCTGCGTGCTGCACTCGGATATTTAGTTCCTAAATAACCTTCTTTTATCTGTTTAAATATCCATTACTTTGTTGTTATCGTTAACAATTATGTGTAATTCATGGTTTGATACTTATGTAAGGGCTGGAAATAGAAATTTCTATGTGTTACTTCTAAGATAATAATTTTCCATGTGTGATCATTTGATTCTTGTTTACTTGCTAGTTAAGATTACATGCAATTATTGTTTACTTGACCTTTGGCGCAAGAAGATTATGGTATAAGTGTACTTGAGCTCAGAGTAACAGTTGGTGTGCTGTTCACTTCTTTCCTTCAAGTGCTACAGTAAAATCTATTACTATCGTTTTTGTAATCTTCTCTCCGATGTTCTTTTGTGCATGAACTATTTGATCATCCTAATTTTGGCTAACAACATTTTTATTTTCTTTCTCTATGGAAATGACGAGCATTGCATAAGGTTTTTTCATTTTATCCTACTGCGTGCAGTCACGCCTACTGAAGTTGTCGCTTCAGTTCTGGTACTTTATCGCTTCAGTTTTTTGGTGCTTTGTCGCTTCACTTTCAGTCATACTTTCTTTCTCTATCTGTACAATTTTGGTGCTTTGTGGCTTCAGTTTCAGTCGTACCTCTTCTGCACATACTAAATTGTCTGGTGAGGATGCCACATGTAAGATATAGCAAATGGATTAATTTTCTGCTATACAATAGGGATATTACAAGCAGGTAGCCCGTAGAGGCCTAACCGTCCTTCACCCGACTCCCCGCCATGATTGCTTTATCTTCATCATCACTCTGTCAGCTGCATTTCACTGTAATACTGACTTTATGACTTGGTATATCAGCTTGCGACAACGGTAGTACATTGTGATGTTTTCAGATTTTCTTGAAGTTTCCTGATGCTCATCTAGCTCTGGGTGCTTGCCCCGAGAGCATGCTGGAACTCGGCTCCGTTCTCCTGGCTGTTTTCTCATCATATGGTTTGGAAAATTTGGGCCAAAGGAACTGGTTGGCCTTGGGTCTTCAGTAAAAATAGCATGGGATAGGTACATGGATCAGTCGTGAAAAAAAGATAGAAAGAAAAAAACTATCACTAGCATGAAACTGTTATCATGAGTGAGAATTTTAGAATGTTTTGAGGACGCAGCAAGCGTAGAACCATAAACTGTGTGCTGCAATCGCATATTTACTTCATAAATAAGCATTGTTATCTTTTTAAATCTCCATGACTTTGCCGTTGTCACTGATAATTATGTGTAATTCATGGTTTGCTACTTATGTAAGGGCTGGAACTAGAAATTTCTGTGTTACTTTTAAGAAATTTTCATGTATATTCATTTGGCTCTTATTTACTTGCTAGTTAAGATTACAAGAAATTATTGTCTACTCAATCTTTGGAGCAAGAGGATTATGGTACAAATTTCAGTTGAGCTCAAAGTAACAGATGCATGTGGTTCAATTATTTTGTTTTGATACAAAGTGCTAGCAAAATTTATTTTCATCTTTTGTAAAAGAGAGGATCGACTGTGTGCAATCAAGCCTACTGAAACTTGTTGAGTGCCAATTCCATTGATGAAACAGATGATATTCTGAACAATTTTGGTACTTTGTCGCTTCAGGCTGAAGCTTGCAATCTGTATCCAGTTCGCTTTATTTGCCAACCTCTTGTACGCATAATAAATTTTCTTGTGCTAAGCACGGATCATGCAAATGAATTAATTTTCTGCTATACAATAGAGGCGACATCCTGATAACAGTGTCAGTCTTCCCTCACCTGACTCCCCCTGTGATCCCTCTCCCCTCATCGTCAGTCTGTCAGCTTACATTGTGATGTTATCAGATGTTTCTCAAAGTTCCCTTATGCTCCTGTATCACTGAATATCCAAGTTGCAAATTCTATCGGATCATGTTGGAACTCGGCTCCGTTCTCCAGATTGATTACGTATCATACTCATAGATTGCAAGTGTGCCAAAGGAATGGTTCCAAAAACAAAGTGTGCCAAAGGGACTAATCTAAATATATAGCATAGGATGGCTACATGGATCAGTTGTATAATCAAGTTAGAAAGAAGAAACTGTCACTAGACATGAAATTGTAATCAAATGGGCTCCAGAAATAAGAGAAATGCATGCAGATATAATGGCAAAGGCTATGCAATGAGAATTTCAGAATGTTTTGAAGAGACAGCAAGCTTGCAACCATAAACTTCTGGAGCAGAGCAGTCTAGAAAGCACCCTCCATTAATTACTTCGAATTATAAGCACATGAAAAAAATAGGGGATTCAGTCTCAACAGACACCTTTTTCATAGTTGAATTGGCATATTGTCTTTCAGAGAGCTGCTTTAGTCATGGAATATTCCTTCGTGGACACTAGACAGGATTATCAATGAACTGAACATCCTCAAATAATAAGCCATCTCACACCGGATAAATTGTTCAGATGCACGCATTTGGTAGCCTCATCGAGACTTCTGCAATATTATCCAGACATCAACATTTTCTGATTTTAGTATAGCTGAGTAACATTATTATCGTGCATCACATGTTGCTCAATTCTATGGTAATCACAGAGGTATGTTTAGTATACCAAATAGATGTTTTTATCTGTGAATATCAGTAAGTATCACAGAGCGAATAGGTGTTTTAATCTCTGACTATCAGTGAGTATCACAGAGCGAGAACTTCAAGCCTTTGTAGCAAAACAGTATTGTAAGGGCAAGAACTGTACCAAATGAGAGTTGTCCTTTGGTGAGATCTGTTTCCGAACCTGTGGTGTATACACAGCACCGTCGCCGGGCAACTAAGTAAAACTCAATTGGCAATCAATGTCAACAAAAAACACATTATCTTTTCATTTTGTCAAGCTAATCTGGATCTGACAGAAAAAAATACATTGGGTTAATACGTACACGCCAAAAACACCATTATATTTTCAGTTCCATCAGATCAGCTATCTAATCAGGCAACACTCTAGTAATTTGCAATTACTTAGTGTACTTTGATGCTGACATGCAACATTTACCAAAGAACAAACTGAAGCACCAATCTGAATTACCATTTAGCTTCTTACTTAGATCAGCAGTTTAACTATCAAGTCAATGTGCCAGTAAAAGTAACACATGAAACAGTAAGAAGTTTTTGCTGCGACAATAATTGAAATAATGCAACAAAGTTCTCCATCCAATATGATGCCAGAAACATAAATTGTAAGATACAGGCTAACACTTTTGCCCAGCATCGATTCTTCCATTTTTGCAACAGCCACCGAGAAGTGCTGCATAATTAAACTAGGCCTCACACCAACCGGTACCATAGCATTAGGTATTCTGAAAGCTTCTTCCATCTTGGCAACTAGGAAATATCCACTGGTAACTGAAGTAAATGTAATAGCATCAGGCCTCTCACCAGTGGGTTTAACCAAGTCAAAGATAATGTATCCTTCCATTACCATTACCCCTCTGCAGCCTATGACCAATATTCTTGTTCTTCATTTCGGTAACCAATTCTTTGAATCACCATGACGAAAATAGCCCTGGATCATGCACCTGTAAATAGTTGTGTCATGAGGTACCCTGAATCAATTCTTTGGCTTTTCCGTGGTCTAGGATGGATACCCTTGGTCTTCATTTCAGTAGTCAATACCTTTGCTTTCAAGAAATCACCATGATTTAAGTAACCCTGAATCATGCACCTGTAAACAGTTGAGTTATGTGGTACTCCCATATCGATCATCTCATTGAATTTTTCCATAGCATCATCCATCATGCCCACTCTGCAATACCCGGTTATCACAGCTAAATATGTGACTTCATCAGGGTTCACTCCCTGCTTCAACATGTCTTTGAAGAAAAGCATAGCTACATCCATCATTCCACACTTAGCATATGCATTAATCAGTATGTTTAAACAATGGAGATCGGGTACAATACCGTCTCTTGCCATCAGCTCACAGAGATCAGTCATTTCAACAAGGGATCCTTCTTTAGCGTACCCATAAAGCATAATAGAGTATGACACTATATTAGGTTTATGGCCCTTCTCAGGCATGGAATAAAAAAATTCTGCAGCTTCTTTGATTTTTCCATGCTTGCAAAGGTAGTCCATGACTGTGTTGCAAGTAAAAACAGTTGGTTTGACACCTTGACTTCTCAATTTTTCCAACAACCTAACGACCTCTTCAAACTGGCCTGAAATGGAATATCCATGGATCAGGCTAGTATATGTAAAAATATCCGGTCGAACACCATTACCAACCATTTGTCGAAGGGCCACCTCTGCCTTGTCCATTGCTCCTGCTTTGCACAATGCATCGATAATGGAGCTATACGTCACCACATTAGGCACGACCCCCTGCTGCATCATTTCATGGAATAGAGAGCATGCTTTGCTTAGTTCACCCTCCTTAATTAAGCCATTGATTACCCTGTTGTATGCCACCAATCCAGGGTAGTGGTCAGCTCCCTTTTTGGCCTTCATCCGGAGCAGGTCAAGTGCACATTGGCTCCTCCCATTGTCACATAAGCTCTTAATAATTATTGAGTAGGAGATGCTATCAGGCAGCTCAGGCATCCTGTAGAGCAGCATGTTGAGGGCCTCCTCCATCTGCATCATGTCACAGAGGCACTTCAATAGGCTGTTGAAGGTGATGATGTCCGCCTTGATGCCTGTCTTGAGGAGGAAGCCGAAGAAGGCGGGACCTAGGTCAGGGTGGCGCGAGCGGCAGCAGCAGTCAATTAGTATGTTGTAGGTGTAAATGTTGGGCTCTATCACCCGGCGGCCCTCTCGAGCCATGCGGTTGAAGAGAGCAATGGCTAGAGCAGGGCCGTCGGTGCAGGCAGCGGAGGGCAGCGCACGCGCGAGGGCGGCAAATAAGCCATTGAGTGCGAACGCTGATACCGGAACGGTTTGGCGCAGCAATTTGTCGAACAGTTGGTGTGCGCGCTCCGGCTGGAGCGTCCCAGAGCCCAGATGATCCTTGAGTTTGTTTAGCAGCTGGTTGGCGCGTGAGGAGACGGTGCTGGAGGACGAGCCGGGTCGGACGCGTGGCATTGCCGCAGATTAGGAGGTCTTGCTCCTTCCTCCGGCGGCGAATGTCAGACACTCAGCCCAACTTGGAACTAGACTGAACTTCCTTTCCAGGCTTAGGAGCAGATCCTGTAAATCTGTAACCAAATTCAGATGGGCTGCCAAATCATTTTGCTTTCTACTCAACGGTCGAACCTTCAGCACAGAAATCCAAGCTTGGACTCACCGAAACATGCAGTTTCCACTCTCCTGGTAGCAGGCCGTGGGGGTTCTCTTCTCGCAACAATGCCGGAGACCGGGGTGAGGGTGAGAGGAATGCAGTCGCGGCGCAGCGCAGGGTCCGTCCTACCGGTGCCCTTCGCGGTGGTGGCCGGCGTCCTCGTCGGTGGATGGCGCGGAGCGAAGCCGGCGCTCGGAAGAAGATGGTACATCCATGAGATGAGGAAGAGAGATAGCGATGGAGGAAGTGGGCAGCGACGGCGTGTTGCCTGGCAGGCGGGCAGAGTGGGGGGAGTGGGTTGAAGCAACAGAGAAAACACACGAGGAAACCAACCATCCTCAAGCATAGGACATGAATTGATGGGTTTGCAAGGCGGCCTTTGCTGCCATGCTTGAAAGTACGGCGGGTAGCAAGAGGCGCTGTCAAGATGACCAAGACCTTATCATAAGCATGAACACCTCTAGTACTGATAGCATAGAGGTTAGGGGTGATTTAGATATGAGTGTGGCATGTAAAAGAGTGTGTGTTGAGAGAGTTGAAACTGTAGTAGGCTTAGATGGGTCTACTGTGCATGTAACAGAGGAAGTAGATGGTGGTGAGGAGGTGGTTGAGGGTAGAAGGAGAGAATCTGTAGGGGAGGAGAGAGATGTTGAGGACACTGCCAAGGAAGCTACCGGCCCTGGGGCTGCCGGTCAACTGACGGGCGCGCTTGACGACGCCCGTCAGGAGCCATGAAAATGATATGTTGGAACTGTCGAGGGTTGGGTCGCCCTCGGACAGTCCAAGAGCTTGTCTGTCTCACTAAGATACATCGACCCAATGTTATCTTTCTTTCCGAAACAAGGCAAAATAAAGAATATGTTGAGAGTTTGCGGTATCGCTTGGGTATGAAAAATGTTTTCTCTGTTTCTGTGCCAGGCAAAGGTGGTGGACTAGCGGTATTTTGGGATGATCTGCACACTTTGGAGTTGAACAAATATGGTGAACACTTCATCGACATGTACATTTGCAATGGTGCTGGAAGTAAATGGAGAAGTACATTTGTCTATGGGGAACCGAAGGCGAGCCAAAGGTATGTGATGTGGGAGCTGTTAAGACGAATTAAACCTCTTGGGGCTGGGCCGTGGTTTATGGTTGGGGATTTTAATGAGGCAATGTGGCAGAATGAGCACTTTTCTCGGATTAAGCGAGCGCAAAAACTTATGGCTAATTTTCGTGAAGTTCTCTTTGATTGCAACCTATTTGATTTGGGTTTCCACGGAGTTCCTTGGACTTACAATAATAAGCAGGAAGGCAATAAAAACGTGAATGTTAGGCTAGACCGTGCGGTCGCTTGCCCTCAATGGTCTTCTATTTTTCCCAACTGCAAGGTCTCTCATATTATTAGTTCCAAATCTGATCATTGTCCTATTCTTATTGAATTGATGGGTGCCTCTCGCTCCGGTCCTTTTGTTAAACAGTTGAAATATGAAGCGTACCGGGAGAGAGAGGAAGCGGAACTGAAAGTACATATTGAATCATGCTGGAACAAAAGTTTGCACGTCAATGATCTGGGAGATGTGGCAAATAATTTGGACAAGATGATGAAATCTCTTCATGGTTGGAGTAAGGTTCACATAGGCTATCTGCCAAAAAAGCTTGAAGCTGCGCGTAACAGGTTAAATGTGCTATTTAAGAGAAATGATCATAATGCAATAGAGGAGAGGAAGAAAATACTATCAAAGATGGATGAGCTCCTAATAAAGGAAAAATTATGTGGAAGCAGAGATCATGTTTGGACAAAATGAGATGGGGGGATAGGAATACTAAATTTTTCATAGGAAAGCCACTTGGCGAGCGAAGAAGAATAATATTTCTGCTATTAAAAGAAGCGATGGATCTCTGTCTCAGGATATGGATGAAATCAAAGGTATCGCTAACTTATTTTTCAAGAACCTGTACTGTTGTGATCATACAGTTAACCCATCTCGTATTATTCCACTTGTTAAACCGTTGGTGAATGATGAAATGAATGAGAAGTTATGCAAACAATTTTCTGAGCAAGAAATTAGTGACGCACTTTTTCAAATTGGGCCTTTGAAGGCGCCAGGGCCTGATGGGTTTCCAGCCAGATTCTTCCAGAGGAACTGGGGTTTGTTAAAGGAAGATATCGTTCGTGCCGTACAGCAATTTTTTCTTTCAGGAATTATGCCCGAAGGGATTAATGATACTACCATTGTTCTTATACCTAAAGTGAAGAATCCCCAAGAGATGAAGGATTTTCGACCTATTAGCCTTTGCAACGTCATATATAAAATTATTTCCATGTGCCTCGTAAATAGAATGAGACCGCTCTTGGATGGTATAATTTCTCCTACTCAAAGTGCCTACATTCCTGGAAGATTAATCTCTGATAATGCTCTCATCGCTTTTGAATGTATGCATTCGTTGAATACTTTGAAAGATAGTCGTGGTGAATATTGTGCATATAAGTTGGATCTTGTCAAAGCGTATGATCGTGTGGACTGGAAGTTTCTGGAAAGTATGCTTGGAGCGTATGGCTTTGCGCCAACTTGGTTAAAGTGGATTATGGCGTGTGTTACATCAGTAAAATTTTCAGTGAGATTTAATGGGCAGTTACTGGAGTCTTTTCATCCGTCGTGTGGGCTTAGGCAAGGAGATCCATTATCACCATACTTGTTTCTCTTTGTGGCTGAAGCTCTTTCTTTGCTTTTTAATGATGCTTTGGCAAGAGGGGTGATTCAAGATTTTCGTTTGAACAGATATGCTCCAGGTATCTCTCATTTATTATTTGCTGACGACAACCTTCTGTTTTTTAAGGGTTCTGTGGAGCAAGTTTTGGCCGTCAAAGGTATTTTGACTGCTTATGAGGAGGGTACAGGTCAATTGTTAAGCCCAGAAAAATGTTCCATTTTGTTTGGGAAAAAAGTTGCTTTGGAAGATCAGGTGTCCATTTTGATTATCCTTCAGATCTCAAGTGAAGGATTTGATGATAAGTACCTGGGTTTACCAGTGCCGGAAGGTCGTATGAAGGCAGGCAAATTTCAATCTACCAAAGATAAAGCTATTAAGCGAGGGGAAGACTGGGTTGAAAAATATGCTTCCAATGGGGTAAAGGAAATTCAAATCAAATCTGTTATTCAGGCCATTCCGGTCTATGGCATGAGTATTTTTAAATTTCCCGTGTCCCTCTGTGATGATTTATCGCAAATTATTCGGAATTTTTGGTGGGGTGATGACGAGAATAGAAGGAGAACTCATTGGTTGGCTTGGGATAAGATGACAAGACCAAAAGGTGAAGGGGGTATGGGCTTTCGTGATCTCAGGCTATTTAATCAAGCACTTCTGGCCAAACAAGCATGGCGTTTATTGGTTTTTCCGGACTCTTTGTGTGCTAAGGTGATGAAAGCAAAATATTATCCGCATGGACATCTTATTGATACTGTATTCCCGCAATCGTCATCGCTTCCGTGGCAAGGTATTATGCATGGCCTCGAATTATTGAAACAGGGTGAAATCTGGAGAGTTGTTGATGGGACCAGTATAAACATATGGAGAGACAATTGGATTCCTAGGGAGTCTGGCCTGAAGATTACTGCCAAGAAAAACAGAACAAGGATCAAATGGGTGTCCGAGTTATTTAGGTCAGATACTAGGAGGTGGGATGAGAATCTCATCAGGCATCTTTTTTACCCTCATGATGCAGAAGAAATCTTAAAGCTGTGCACGCTGAATTTGGGTGAGGGAGATTTTATTGCCTGGCATCATGAGAAAAGTGGCATGTTTTCAGTTAAGAGTGCGTACAGGCTTGCTTAGAACCTCATGGACTCGAAGGTTAATGTGGGAAATTCTAGTGTAGTAGTAAATGGGGAAAGGAGGATCTGGAATAATATCTGGAAAGCTAATGTCCCTCAGAAGATTAGAATTTTTGCTTGGCGGGTGGCTTCAAATAGTTTGGCAGTTCAAGTTAATAGGGTTAAACACCATCAAGCAATCCTGAGAACGTGCACAATTTGTGGCATCGAAGATGAATGCACTTTTCATGCTTTGGTGAGTTGCCCAAAGGCACGTGCACTTCGTTTGGCTTTGAGAAAAGTGTGGAATTTGCCTGCCGAAGTGCTTTTTAAAAATACTGGGCCAGATTGGTTTCTTATTTTACTGGATCAATTAAGTCCAACAGTGCGTGAGCAAACTATTTTCACGTTATGGAGAGCTTGGCACTTGAGGAATGATTTGATTTTTGCTAAAGGTAAAGAATCCATATCAGCCTCTGTAAATTTTGTTCATAATTACTGGGCTTCCTTTTCGTCTTGCCACTCAAAAACGCAGGGAGTGATAAGTTACAAAGGCAAGGAATTGGGCGAGGGCATTCAGGATTCGAATAATGGGGAGAGGAAGGATGTTAGTTGGAAACCTCCCAACGCGGAGTTTTTCAAAATTAACGTCGATGCAAGTTTTATGAAGGCAATCAACGCCGCAAGTGTGGGGGTCGTTGTTAGGAATCATATTGGAGAAGTAATCATTTCCTCTTGGGATTATATTGGAGCCTGCTATAGTGCTGAGGAAGCGGAAATTAGAGCGACAATCTCCGGATTGTATATCGGTATCACCCTTCACCAACCCATCATATTAGAAACTGATTGTTCTTTTGTGGCTGGTGTTCTTGAAAATTACAGGTTTGACAGATCTCCCCTTGTTGACCTAAAGAAGGAAGCATTCAGTATTTCTAAGATGCTGCCGAATGTGAAGATCTCCAAGATTAGCAGGAAAGCTAATAAGGTGGCGCACGAGATAGCTAAGTTTA